AAGAAGAAGAAGAAGAAGAAGAAGAAGAAGAAGAAGAAGAAGAAGAATCTTGCAGCTATTCAGGTAGTTTCTCTATTTCTATATGAGCGACTGACTTCCCCACTCCAAGACCTGAAGACAGAACAAACCGGTGTAAAGCAGGACTGCTGAGTCTCCTTCTGGCTCCATAGTTCTGAGAAGTCTACCTCTGCCTTCAGCCCCCGCCAGTTACCACAACTTAAGCAAGACTTAAGCCTCACTCCTCAGGGGATCTCCATGCAGACCGAAGCACTGGAACGGTGCACGTTACAAACCCAGGATGCTCCTCAAACCCCACTTGCAACCTACCAGCTGTTGCAACTCCTCTGGATCTTGCTGCCGGGCGGGTGAGCCTTCTCGTGGTGGAGGCAAGGACACATGGCCGGCTGGATGCACTGCCCTTCGTGGTCCAGCACCAGGCCATCTGGGCAATTGCACCCAGCCACGCAAACAGGCTGGAGGTCCTCGCAGGCACCATTTTTTTCCACGGGGAGGTCGGCGCAGGTTCTTCCACAGGGGGTGGTGCATTCTCGGTAGACCTGGCCCCCGGAGCACTGCACCGCTGTGGAGAGAGACAGAGAGAAAGGCCACGGGGTGTGGATTCCATCCTGAATATCCACTGCGGACATGCCGCCAAGATGTCGTTATGAGGGGACGAGATGGCTAGGGGGCAGGAGCAGATTACTAAAGAGAGACTGGTAGACTCGTGCTTGGAAAAGAGACCACCAGGAAATCCCAAGGCAATGAGCATCGCTGCTGTGGTCAAGAAGACAATTTAGATGTGTTCAAGAGGGTCTCCCCCACCTAAGCACAACCCAACCCAACCCAACTGACCCACCCCACCCCACCGCAACTGACCCAACCTAACTCAACCCAACTGACCCAACTCATTACAACCCAACCCAACCCAACCCAACCTCCCCAACCCAATCTAACTGACCCAACCCAACCTAACCCAACCTACCCAACCCAGACAACTCAACTGACCCAACCCACCCCACCCCACCCAACTCAACCCGACTCACAGACACATTTCTGGCAGAGTTTGGGGGGAGAGAAAGAAAGACTTCTGCAGCTTCTGCTGCTTTCCTTGCATGAAGCCAAAAGTTTCTCTCTCTCTCTCTCTCCCTGAAAATGGAGCTGGAGACGGAATCCTGCAATCCCAAATAAAGAATGATTGATCTCCACGAAAACGGGGTGGGGGTATTTTCCTGCAGACTTTTTTTTGGGGTGGGGGGTTCCCAGGATTCTCTGCTCCGCAGGATTTAAAATGGTGACTTTGGTGGTCCCTGAGGTCTGAAAGGTTGGTGACCCCTGTTCTACAGCAGGGACCCACAACACGCAGGTCGTGGCCTATTCAGAATCGGAGCCACGCAACCGGCAGGCGCTTGTGCTTCCACGCGCAGCTTCATGGATGGGAGTGAGCAGGCAGGCTCGCCTGTCACTCGTGGAAATGGAGCAGTGCATGCTCACCCGCTGCTTGTGTGGAATCGTTCCCCTCTTCCCTCTGAAGCCAGAAAGAAGAAGGAAGGAAGAAGGAAGGAATGGAAAGAAAGAAGGGAGGGAGGGAGGGAGGGAGAGTGGAAGGGAGGAAAAGAAGGAAGGAGGGAGGGAAGAAAGGGAAGGAGAAAAGAAGAAGGGAGGAAAAGAAAAGAGGGAGGGAGGGAGGAAAGAAAGGGAAGGAGAAAAGAAGAAGGGAGGGAAAGAAAGGAGGGAGGGAGGGAGGAAGGGAGGAAAGGAGAGAGGGAGAGAAGAAAAGAAGGGAGGGAAGGAGAAAGGGAAGAAAGGGAAGGAGAAAAGAAGAAGGGAGGAAAAGAAAGGAGGGAGGGAGGGAGAAAAGGAAGGGGAAAAGAAGAAGGAACAAGGATGGGAGGAAAAGGAAGGGAGGGAGGGAGAAAGGGAGGAAAGGGAAGGAGAAAAGAAGAAGGGAGGAAAGAAAGGAGGGAGGGAAGGAGGAAGGAAGGGAAAGAAAAGAAGGGAAGGAGAGAGGAAGGAAGGAAGGAAGGGAGCAGAAGGAGACCCCCTGCTCCAGGGACACTTACAGCAGAAGCTCTGGTTCCTCCAGGCCACGAGGGCTCCCTCCTGGGCACAGTGATGGGCATAGGTGGCCAGGGCACCACAAAGACAGTCGTCCCCGGCTGAACAGCTGCAGACGTCCTCCAGGCACAGCTGGTAGAAGGGCTCCCGCTCCACCAAGTTGTGACAGGGCTGGCGAGAGGGGTTGGGTGGGATACGACGGTTTTTAACTGGTTCTTTGGGCGTGGCACGGTGGTCATGTGACTGGGTGGGGGCGTGGCTAGGCAGTCAGGGGACCAGGTTGGCCCAAAAGAGAGGAAACGTTCTTGAACAATGCTCTCGGGAGCCAGGGAGGGCGGTTGGACTAGATGACCTCCGAGATCCCCTTCCAGATCCTGGATGGCTGGGCTGTTTTGAAGCATCCTCTGAAGCTGCTGCCTAGCTCCAGGGTTTGGGGGCCTTCCTTCCTCTCCTTTTTCTCTCCCTCTCTCCCTCCCTCTATCCACCCGTCCATATCTCATTCGCTTTCCCTTCCCTCCTTCTCCCTTCCCTCCCTCTTTCTATCTTTTTCTCTTTCTTTCTTTCTTTCTTTCTTTCTTTCTTTCTTTCTTTCTTTCTTTCTCTCCTTCTCCTTTCTTTCTCTTTCTTTCTCCCTTTCCTCCCTTCCTTTCTTTCCTTCTCCCTCCCCTCCCTCTTTCTTTTCTTTCTTTTCTTTCTCTTTTTCTCTTTCTTTTCCTTTCTTTCTCCTATCCCTCTCCCTCCCTCTCTAGGTGTGGTCTTACTATGGATGGGTGGATGGATAGATAGATAGATAGATAGGTAGGTAGGTAGGTGGGTGGGTGGGTGGGCGGATGGACAGACTGAGAGACAGACAGATACACATTGATATAGATGGATGGATGGATGGATGGATGAACAGACGGATGGACAGACAGACAGACACCTAGAGTACTGCATCCAGTTTTGGTCACCACACTATAGAAAGGATGTTGAGACTCTAGAAAAAGTGCAGAGAAGAGCAACCAGGATGATTAGGGGACTGGAGGCTAAAACATACGAAGAACGATCACAGGAACTGGGCCTGGCTAGTCTAGGGAAGAGAAGGACCAGGGGAGACATGATAGCGGTCTTCCAATATTTGAGGGGCTGCCACAGAGAGGGGGAAGACGGTCAAGCTATTTTCTAAAGCACCTAAAAGCACCAGACAACGAACAATGGATGGAAACTGAACAAGGAGAGACTCAACCTTGAAATAAGGAGAAACTTTCTGACAGGGAGAACAATCAACCCATGGAAGAGAAGTTGCCCTTGGAAGTTGTGGGAGCTTCATCACTGGAGGCTTCCAAGAAGAGGCTGGACGGCCACCTGTCAGAAATGGTATACAGGGTCTCCTGCTTGGGTGGGGGGGTTGGACTAGATGACCTACAAGGTCCCTTCCGACTTTGATGGTCTGTTATCTGAATGTGTGGAGATGGATCTGCTTACGTTTGAAATGAAAGAGAAAGAAAACTTTGGATACTACTGTCGTGGCACAAATGGTTAGAGAATAGATACCAAAAAATAAGAAGAATGGATGAGTGTACTTAATCTAAGGGACCTTAAGAAAACGATATGGCAGATACATACAATATACTGAATAAATATATAAGACGGAGAGAATTATAGATACAGAGAATACTTATTGGTTGATGTATATAAAATATAAGGTGATTTATATATTTTTAATTTTTTTTCCAAATTTGTACTTTACTAATTTATTTGATTCTTTTTATTAGTTTTTTTAATTGCTTTTTATTTTTATTTTATTATTATTTTTGTTTTAAAAATGGTTTTACATATTTGTGTATGCCACCATAGGCGAATAGGCGGCAATATAAGTAAAATAAAATATTAAATTAAATGAATAAATATAAGATATTTATATTTTCACGGCCCCTACAGACCTCTTAGGAAAGTGGGGAGGTCAACAGTAGACAGTCTGAGGTTAAAGTTTTTGGGGTTGGGGGAAGAAACCTTTGCTCGTAGGCCCCTCCCAACAGCAGCCCCCCCGCCCTCCCGCAGTCTTCCTCGCTCACCTGGAAGGGCGCACCGTGAAGGGCCGCGCAAGCCGCCTCCGCGTACTGCCGCCGTTGGGTGTAGGTGCTGCAGGCGTCGAAGAGGAGACCGGCGGTGGGGGCGCAGGCGGCGGGCAGCTGGAACTTGCGGGCGAACGCAGCCACGCCGGGCTCCACGTCGCCCTCCGGGGTGGTGAACTCGTCCTGCTGGTTCCAGTTGTAAGTCCCACAAAGGCCACGGACCTGAAGGAAAGCGGGCGAGAGCCAGCCCAGGAGGGGCGCGACATTACGCCGGGCATCTGGAGCCCGCGACTGGGTCTCATCCAGAAGTTCAGTGCTTATGGATGGGGTGGGATTTACTGCACCTTTATGGCAAGAGAAAAGAGGGAAGGAAGGAAGGAAGGAAGGAAGGAAGGAAAAGAAAGAAATGAGGGAGGGAAAGACAAAAGAAGAAGGAAAGAATAAAGGAAGGAAGGAAAGGAAAGGAAAAAGAAGGGAGGAAAAAAAGAAGGAAGGAAAAGAAAGAAGAAGGGACAGAGGGGAGGAGGGGAGGAAAGAAGGAGGGGAGGAGGGAGGGAAGGAAGGAGAAAAGAAAAGGGAAAGAATAAAGGAAGAAAGGAAAGGAAAGAAGGGACGGAGGAAGGAAAAGAAAGGAAGGAAGGAAAGAATAAAGGAAGGAAGGGAACCAAAGGCGAAGGAAGGAAGGAAGGGAAGGAGTAAAGAAGAAAGGGAGAGGGAGGGAGGAAAAGAAAGAAGGAAGAAAAGAGAGAAACGGGAAGGGAATAAAGACGAGGGTAGGTCAGGAAAGGGAGGGCAGGGGAGGGGAGGGGGAGGTAACGGGGGAGGGGGAGGACTCCAGAAAGAGAAGGACGCTACTGTGCAGATCGAAGCGCCAGGAGGAAGGAGGTTCCTGCCCCACACCTTCCTGTGCCCAACTGCGAGTCTGGTTTTAAATGAATTCCTCCTGGCCCCTGGGGACCCCTCCCCAGAAGAAGCCCCCTGTCAGGGTTCCGACGGAAGCCCTCATCCAGTCGTGAGCCTCGAGCCAAACGTCAAAAGAAATCCAATGATTTATTAGGAGCAACACTTTCCCCAAGTGCATGTTGGCCATTTATCACCCGTTTCCCTCCTCTTCCTTCCAGGGTGTGTCATAAATCGCGTTCTCCAACCGGAGCATCTTGACGGCTGGGTGACGCCTTGGTGAGGCATGCGTGGAATGTACTTCTGGAATTTTTTTTAAAATTTAATTTCCTTGCTGCTCCTTCAGTGTCCCGTCCCCCCCCGCTCCCCATGGCAACTCGAAAGGAGGCCAGGGATGCTTTACAAGTTGACATCCTCCCGAGAACTCACCTTGTGAGCGAAGCTGGGCTGGAGAGTTATGTAGGCAGCCGGGAACTCCAGGCCCCACAGCAGGTGAGCCCCAAAGGCCTGGAGGAGGAGGAAGGCGGAGGAGGCGCGGCTGACGGTCAGGTCGGCGTTGCTGAATGGGAGGGCAACGTCCTGGCCGTTCACCGAGACGGACCCTGGATGGCGTGGGAGGAAGAGTCAGAGACGGAGCAAGGTGACTGGGTGCCCAGCAGGGAACGAGCCCCCTGGGGAGCAGTACTGGATGGAGGAGGGGGTTTGGTGATGGGGAGGAGGAGGAGAGGAGGACTCTGTGGTCCTTGGCACTCTGTGGGGTTGTTGGTTTTCTTCTAAATGTTTCTTGACCCAACTAGAAAACATCATCAGTGCTAGAAGGGAAAGGAGGAGGAGGAGGAGGAGGAGGAGGAGGAGGAGGACAACAATGACAACGACTCTGTTCTAGGTGCTTTGTGAGGTTGGTGGTTTTCTTTAGACATTTCTTAATCCTACTAGTGAACATCATCAGTGTGAGGAGGGAGGGGGATTGTGGAAAGGAGGAGGGGGAGTGGGGAGGGGGAGTGAGGGAGGGCTCTGTGAGCTTAGTGGTTTCCTTGCAGACATTTCATAACCCAGCTAGGCAATGTCATCAGTGCTACAAAGGTGGTTTGATCTCTGTTTACGTACAATTGCTCGGCCTGCCAGTATTGGCAGGAGTGTGATTCCCCCTCCTACCCTTGATTGGTATGGGTTTTTTTTCCTTGATTGTTTGTCTGGTGTTAATCTCTGCTTATCTGATTTTCTCTTGGGGCTCTCTGAGCTGGGCGGTTTCCTTGCAGACTTTTCATGACCCAACACGGGAACATCATCAGTGCTAGAAGGGAAGATCTTTTGTGGAGAGGGGGAGGAGCAGGCGGGACTTTGGGGTGTCTTTGTTACCTACCAAAGGTAGTTGCCCAGACCCTTAGTCTCACCTGAGAAGGACAGCCAGGCCGAGGTTTTATGCACAGTGACAGTCACAGCCCGAAGACAGCTGACAGCACCCTGGTTCCCGCATGGTTCGTTCTCTGCCTGGATCTGAATTTTCCCATCAGCAAAATCCTGCGGGAACACAGATCATCCTTGACTTAAAACCAGTGGTGAAGCGAGTCTCCAAAGGTTCACTTAATGACGGCAGTGGTCACTGAACGACCTCAGCACTCACTGTGTCAGGATTCCGGCAGTTACCCCCATTTCAATCCTAAGTCTCAAGCCAAACTTTCAAAACTTCCAAAGGATTTATGGGGAGTGAACATGTCTGGCACTGCCTGGGTACAGCCAACTCTGGAACTCATCATTCATTGTCACCCTTCACCCTGGTTTCCCCACCCCACCCCATGGGTGTGTCATAAATCATATTCTCCAATGAGACACATCCATAGCCAAGAGTCATCAATCATGTTCTCCAATTAGAATTTTTGCGCGACAGAAACTTTGGTCACCTAGTTACTATCTTTGAAAACATTTATGGAATGCATTTTGAGTTTCCAAGCTGCTGCACTGCTCCCCTCTCCCTTTCCGTTGGCAACTCTAAGAAGACCAGTGTAGACGTTTTTTATGAGTTCTAAGATAGCATTCACTCTCTCTGTACCCCCGTCAGTTTCAGGGTGATGGGTGGACAACAGACAGTTGCCTGGAAACTATCTATGAAAACATTTATGGAATGCGTTTTTGATTTCCAAGCTGCTGCACTGCTCCCCCCTCCCTTTCTGTTGGCAAAACTAAAAAGACCAGAGAAAGATTTGAGCTGACATGCTGAAGGACTTCAGCGTTCATTTAATGACCATCAAAAGAAAAAAAAATCATGTGAGGGCCTCGACTGACTGCCTTTGTGACCTACAGGCAGTCCTTGACTTATGACAATTCGCTTAGTGACCCTTAGAAACTGCCGAGGCACCGAAAACAGAACCGACACCCTTTTAAAAAAAACTTACAACCATTGTAGCATTCCTTGTCACATGGTCAACATTCAGACATTCCACAACTGACTCATACTTACGATGATTGCTGTCTCCTGGGATCACCTTCTGACAGGGAAAATCAAGGGTGTGGAACTGAGCCCCTTCCCCTCCTGTGTGTCCTCACCTGCACCAGGATGTAGTGGCAAACCCCACGGAAGGAGTAACGCTTTCCATCGAAAGTCAAATAATGGAGACGTCCATGGAGGACGCACTCGCCGGCACACCGATCCTGTGAGCAGACCCACTGACCCCCTCGGCATGTGCTGTGGGAGCAAGCAACAGGTTGCTGTCTGAGTGGGGAGAGGGTCTTCAGTGCTAGAAGGGAAGTGGGCAGGAGGAGGAGGGAGAGGAGGAGGGAGGACTGTGGGGTCCTTGGGGCTCTCTGAGCTGTGTGGTTTCCTTGCAGACATTTCATGACCCAACTAGGGAACGTTATCAGTGCTAGAAGGGAGGGAGGTGTGGGGAGGGGAGGAGGAAGGGGGAGGAAGAGGAAGGAAGGAAGGAAGGAGAGGACTGTGGGATCATTGGTGCTCTCTGAGCTGGAAGTTCTCCCCCCATTGTTTGGGCACCCAGTCTCGAAGTGACCAGGGGGGAGGCTTACCACTGGTTGCAGCGCTGTTGTAGTGTCTCTCCTGGGTGGAACTTCTGCCGTCGGTGGAAACAGGGACACCGGCTTGGCGGGATGCAAGACCCTTCCTCTAAGTAGAGTCCCGGGATGCATTCACAACCGCTCACGCACTCCGCTCGGCAGTGCTCGCCGTCTGCCATGCCCACCGCTGCACAGCTGGGCGGGCAGAAGGAGACGCAATCCGTGTAGCGCTGTCCGGGGCCGCACGGCTTCTCTGTGTGGAAGTGGGACCAGAACAGAGGGATTGAATTTGGGGGGAGAGCAGGAGGCCCTGACAGAATCAAGAGAATGATAAAGTTGTCGGGTGGGCCGGTTTAGGCCGGTTCAAGTGAACCAGATGTTAAATTTACATACTTAGTGGAACCGACCGGGTGGCCCCAGCCACTCCACCGCGGCCCTCCTAGAGTCCCCCCGCAGCCCATTTTGGATGCAGGTAAGAGTGCAGGGTCCACGCGGAGGCTCTGGGAGGGGGAAAATGTGGCCCTTCTGGATGTTCCAGAAGTCCACAAACTGGAAGTTTCCAGTTTCCAGAGGGTCTCCAGAGCCAAGAGAGGCTGTTTTTGCCCTCCCAGAGGCCTGAGGGAAGCCTCCGGACTCTGGGGAACGTGACAAATGGCCCTCCCGGAAGTTCTGGTAGGCCACGCCCACCATGGCCACACCAACCCAGCAACTGAGCAGAGAGTTTTGAATCCCACCCTTGGACCTTGGATGTCTTCTAATCTGACCCCGCTCTGCTCTAGCAGGAGACCCTGACAGAATTAGAGAGTTGGAAGGGACCTTGGGAGGTCTTCTAGTCCAACCCACTCTCAGGCAGGAGAACTCCCTCCCTCCCTGTCTCCCTTCCTTCCTATGAGGACAATTAACCCGTGGAACTGCTTGCTCCAACACTGGAGGTTTTTAAGAAGAGACTGCACAGCCACTTGTCTGAAATTGTAGAGGGTCTCCTGCTTGAGGAGGGGGCTGGACTAGAAGACCTCTAAGGTCCCTTCCAGCTTCTATTCCGATCAATTTCCCAAAGAGAGAGGGTCTCTCCCCCCCCAAAGACAGCCTGTGGGGCAGTAGCCACTCAGGTTCTTCGCAGGGCGGGTAGAGCTCAAGGTCTTTCGGGAGGTTTGAGCGTTTCACTCCTTACAATCGCACCATCACCTTGGAAGTGTTAAGTTTGGGGTGGGATTCTACTGGTTCGGACTGGTTTGGCCGAACCCCTTGATCAAAAGTCAACTGGTTCACTGCGACTACCATGTGTGCCCACCCGCCACCCACCTGTGCTTTACCTATCTAGATCACTTCAGCTGATTAGCGCAGCCCAGAGGATTGCCACTTCTCCGCTGTATTACTTGACTTTTGCACACGCGTGTCAGGCAATCCCCGAACCAGTATAAAACCTGGAGAATCCCACCCCTGTCCGGAGACCTCACTGCACCCCCTTCTGCCCTGACCTGCAGCCCCTTACCACAAAAACCGGCCCTTCTCCAGTTGATGAAGACCCCGTGTTGGGCACACTCCCGGGCGTAGCTGGCAAAGGTCTCGCAGGCGTCAACAGGCCCTGCCCGTTGGCTGCACAACAGATACTTGCAGGTATCGTAGAAATTTTGGGGGTCCACCTGCCGGGGGGAGGAAGGGGCAAAGCCTCAGGACAGGCAGGCTGGCTGGCTGTACTGGTCATCCTCAACTTACAGCCATTCGTTTAGTGACCATTCGAAATTCCGATGGCAGTGTAAAAAAAAGAAGCGTTTTTCACAGGGCCGTTGCAGCATCCCCGTGATCAAAATCCAGACATTTAGCAAGTGACTCATGGTTGTGATGGTCACAGTGTCCGGGGGGGGGGGGGGAGGCGTTACACGATCCAGGGGTGGGATTCTACCTGTTCAGACCAGTTCTATAGAACCAGTTATTCTGATTCTGTGCAGTTTGGAGAACCAGCAAATCGAGCACCTGGCTGGCTCTTCTTCCTGGGCCCCAAGGAAGCCTTCTGGAGCAAAAACACCCCCCAGTAGGGTCCCCTGAGGCCCAGAAGGCCCCCAAAATGGGAGGGGGGTTGCTGCAAGAAAAGAAGCCACGCCCACCCAGTCAAGTGACCACCTAGTCACACCCACCTAGCCATGCCCATAGCTCCGGTTGTTTCAGAATTTGAATCCCACCCCCGACGCGATCCCCTTTGGGCCGCTTCTTGACTAGCAGAGTCAAGGGGAAAGCTAAATTCCTTTTAACAACCATGGGATGAACAGGAGGGATTCCTTTCACCAGGGTGGGAAGAAAAGCCGCAAAATCCAGGGAGATAACACGCTTCCCGAACGTTTCGCTTAGCGACAGCAATGTAGAGTCATAAGCGGAGGACTGCCTCTCCAGTCATGGCTGGGGGAAAACACCTGAAGTGTGTGTGTGTGTGTGTGTGTGTTTGTGCACAACTGACTCCTCACCTGCCTGTGACATTGGCTGAAAGGACTAGAGAACAACTTTTGGCAAGTCGCCCTGGCAACCTCCTGAACATCGTCGTCCGGCACCGTGTCACAGTGGTGTGGTTCCTCCGCGGCGTCTCGGCACAGACTCTGCTGCAGGCAAAGAAAGAATGTAATGGTTGAATGAATTAATTTTAATTGGAATAAAATAGAATAGGTGGTTTCCAGTTCCCGGTCCATGGACCAGTGCCGATCTGCAGCTTGCCAGCAACCGGTTCGTGGAAACCAGCAGCGCATGCACAAAAATGACATCGCAGAATCATTCTGCAATTAATCCCGTCACAAAAGTGGCCAGAAAACTCATTCAAATGGGGCCTGTAACCAATGTCTCGCTCAGGGGCGGGATTCAAATTTCTTAACAACTGGTTCTGTGGGCTTGGCCTAATTTGTAGGTGTAGCTTATTGGTCATGTGACTGGCTGGGCGTGGCTTGTATGTAAATATTATAAATATTTATGTAAATATTGAATTTTTTATTTTTAAAAAAGAGCAACTTTTACCCCAAATCAGGCAAAGCAGGCAGGCAGATGGAGTTGCTCACAGAATCACGGATTCACTCAGAGATCTACCTTTCTGCAATCTGCTGCCTAATATTTGCTTACAAGCAAACTCACAAAATTAACTCACAACACACTATGTATGTAAATATTGATTTTTTTTAATTTAAAAAAGGGGCAACTTTTACCGCAAAGCAGGCAAACTGTTAGGCATCCAGAAATTGTCCATGGTAATCAATCACTCTGACACAAGTATAATCTCCAATTGATTTATTAGGAACAGCTCTGGTACGTCTATTGAATTTCCAAACTGAAAGTCATTTTCAGCGCATTTCACAAAATGCACCTTCTCTCCTCCTACTTCTCACACTTCATTAATCACAAGAACCAATTAACTGCAGCTGGAATTGTTTAATGCGACATATGAAATGAACTTTCCAACTCCTCCACCCCCCCCCCTTTGCTTATAACAATCTTGGCAGCTGAATCTCAGAGCTGACAGAAAGCAGGCAGGCAGGTGGAGTTGCTCGCAGAATCACAGATTCACTCAGAGATCCACCTTTCTGCCATCGGCTACCTGAGTCTGCACTGAATAATAGAAGCTTCAGTCCTAAGGGAGATTCGGCTCTGCTTTTAGATTAGCTAGAAAGCAAGAAATACCACGATTTCCTGCTTCCTAACTAATCTAAATCTCCCAGCGCAGCAGAACAGCTGACGGTCAGGTGGCGGAAAGGAAAAACAGCAATTTACCAACCCAGGCAAGTTGGATGGCGCGCATGCCAGGTAAGGAGTGGCGCAATTTGCTGGTTCTCCGAACGGGGAAGAATCATAACAACCAGTTCTATAGAACCAGACTGACCAATAGAATCCCACCCTGGTCTTGCTCAGCAACAGAAATGTGTGTGTGGGCGGCCCTCTGTTGCCATTGTAACTTGAGGACTATCTGTGATTGGGATGCAACCAACTGCAATACCCTCAAGAACCTGGGGCCGAGCCCCGCGGAGACCTTGTTGCCACCTCCCAAAGCCCCCCACCCCCCCGCATCCACGGGGTACCTACCAGCCTGGTCTCTGGAATCCGCCATGAATTGCCAAAACTGGCCGCCAGCATGACCAAATCCCCTTCCACGCGTTGGAAGTCATCTGTGGGCACAGAAAGGGGGAGGGGCTGGCTCGCGAGGGGCTTGCTCAGAGCACGGGGAGGAGAAAACAGCCGGTAGCGGGTTGGGAGAAGGGAAGGGGGCTTCCTGTTTCTTTAAGTCACCTTGAGAAGCTTAGGATACTGGGAAGCTCTCTGGACGTGCCCACCATCACCCCCCACCCCCAAAAAATTCTGCTGCAGGGAAGGTGGCGGAACAGCACTCCAGATAAATAAGATAAAGGAGTAAATAAGGAAGAACAGAATTTCAGAATAATGGAATAACGGAATAGCAGATTAATAAAAGAGCAGAATAACGGAATCGTGGAATAACATAATAGCAGAATAGCATAATAACAGAATTGCGGAATTGCGGAATAGCAGAATAACAAATTCAGAATTATAAAATAGCACAGTAGCAGAATAACAGAATAGCGGGAAAATGGAATAATGGAATTGCAGAATAACAGAATAACAGAATAGCAGAATAACAGAGTAATGGAATAGCAGAATACCAAATAACAATAGCGGGATAATGGAACAGTAGAATAGCAGAATTGCAGAATTACTGAATAGCACAATAGCAGAATAACAGAGTAGCAGAATAAGAGAATAATGGAACAACAGAATAGAATAATTGAATAGCGGAATACCAGAATAATAAAATAATAGAAGAGCAGAATAACAGAATAATGGAATAGTAGAATAACGAGCAGGAAAATGGAATAAGGGAATAGCAGAATAAGGGATTAATGGAATAACAGAATAGCAGGAAAATGGAATAATGGAATTGCAGAATAAGAGAATAATGGAAACAGAATAGCAGAATAACAATTACAAAATAGCACAATAGAAAAATAACAGAATAGCAGGAAAATGGAATAGCAGAATAACATAATAACAGTATTGCAGAATGACGGAATTGCAGAATTACAAAATAGCACAATAGCAGAATAACAGAATAGAAAAACAGAGCAGCGGAATAACAGAATAGATGAATAACAGAATAGCTGAATAGTGGAATAGCAGATTAATGGGATGGAATAACAGAATTACCGAATCACCAAATTGGAAAGGATCATGCAGGTCTTCTAATCCAACCCCCTTGTCAAGCAGGAAACCCTACATGATTTCAGACAAGCGGTTGTCCAATCTCTTCTTAAAACCCTCTTCTTTAAAGGGCTCCATTGGGGGGTTCTCAGGGGTTTTCCAGGGCTCCCTCTTCCATTTCTGGGGGGGCGTATATTTGAATGGGAGGCCAGGTCCCATCCTCCTGGGCCTGGCATTCAGACGTCCATCTGCCTTACCTGCAGGGTTGTTGTTGTAGATGCCGCACAGCCCCCGGGTGGTCCCTTGCAGGGCGGTGCCAATGGTGATGTACACCGTGCTGTGTCCGTCAAATTTCACCCGGACTCCCAGGCCACTGTCCACAAAAATAAAGTCTCCCAGCCACCAGATGCTGATCCCTGGAGGGAGGAGGAGGAGGAGGAGACAGTCAAGTGGGGAGAGAGACAAACTGTGGTGTCAGGATTCCGGCGATTGCCCTAATTAAATCATGAGCCTCAAGCCGAGCTTCAAAAGAATCCCAAAAGTTTTATTAGGAGAAACATGCCGGCATTCTCCTAAATGAAGCCAACTCTGGCCTACGAAATTCACAGTCACCTGTGGCCCAGTTTCCCCCCTCCCTCCTGGGTGTGTCATAAATCATATTCTCCAATTAAGTATGTTCATGGGCTGGGTGTCATCAATCACATTCCCCAATTAAGAATTTAAGCGTTGACAGTGGATTCGAAATATGCCTGCCAGCCCAGGACTCCCCAGGCTCCAGCAAAAGGACCCCTCCCTTCCCTGATCCCCCCCCCTACACCCAGTCCTCACCCTTTCGCAGGAGAGGCTCCCTCTCAGGCACCACGATGCCATTAAGCGAGATGTTGCGGCCGTGAACCGTCACCGAGTCGAGTCCAAAAAGGATGCGGAGATCCTACCAGACAAGGAGGGCGGTGAGGTTGGAGGGGTCTCGACCCACTCCCCCCTCCTCTTCAGCCCACCCAGGTTGGGGAGGTGGTCCCCGGGCAAGCGTTCTGTGCAAATAGTCCTCGACTGACAACCACAGTGGAGCCCCAAATTTCTGTCGCTAAACGAGACACCCATTTAAGCGGGTTTTCTTCATTTGAATGACTTCTCCCGCCACCGTTGTTAAGTGAGCCAGACAGTTGTTCAGCAAATCTGTTTTCCCCAGGAAGGCCAATTGTCCTGTGCAGACCCCGCCCCCCTTACCCGTTGACACTGGCCCAACATGCAGCCCCCGCTGCCGGATGAGATGTAGACAGCCCAGGTGCCATCGGAAGCCGCAGCCAGGATGTAGGTGCAGTTCCCCACAAAGCGGAAATGTTTCCCATCGAAGGTGCGATAGTGCAATCCGTCCCAGGTGAGACAGGTTGCAAAGGGGGGATTGTGGTACTTTTGTCGGGCCAGAAGCACTGAGTGGGCGGGTGGGCGGAGCAGAGACGGCGAAGCCACGGCCCCTGGGGAGAAATCGGCTATCAAAACGATGGCGCCCAAGTAAGAAGTTTTATATTTTTCTACAAAGATCATCATCATATATATATATATATATATATATATATATATATATATATATAGAGAGAGAGAGAGAGAGAGAGAGAGAGAGAGAGATCCTGGATCTTGTGCTATAATCTCCTGGGTCGTTTGTTTTGTAGTGATCTTTTTTTCCATTAGCCTCTCGTGTTTTAACAGCTTGGATAATGAGTTGTGTGATGGACTCGTGAGTTCTTTTCTTGTGGTATCCTGGGTCCTGCATTGTAATCTCCTGGGTCATTCATGTTTGATCTCTTTTCCACAACAAAACTTACAAGGCCATCACACAGCCCATTATACCAACATCAACTCCATCAACCAATCAAGAGGAAGCAGCACAGCCAACCAGCCCAGCACACCAGCCCCCCCAACCACCAGTATTTATAGAGAGATGGCAGCTCCGATCACACACTGCTTGCACTGGCACGAAGCCAAAAGCACCAGCCTGAGGATGGTGAGTGGGACCTCGCCGAAACGTCGCCAAGATACTCTTCACCTTACATGGGAAAAGACCCGAACACACCTAGACCTACATATATGTCTGTGTCTGTGTTTTCTTAAGTTTTCGTGGGTACTTACATGTATGGCATTCAGCTTTGCTCAGGTATTTTCCCACGTCACCGTAGTTGTGCTTTTAAAGTTGTAGCAACGTTTCGGCAGAATCTCATCTGCCATCATCAGGCTTCTGTATTGTGTTCCTCTGTGAGTCAGACTTTCACAGCCGTTTCTGTTTTAAATTTGGGGCTAGCCTACTGCTGTGCCAGAATGGTTTTTTCTTCATCCTGATTGGTTGGGAGTCTTGGTCTGTGTTTATTGGTCTTGGAGTTTGCTGTGTTCCGCTTGATTGGTGTTTCTAATATCTTCTGTCTGTTTTGTGGCTTTTTTGTGTCTTGATTGGCTGACAACATTGTGTTCCTGTATTGGAGGCTTTTAGTGCAGCTTGGCTCCGAGTAAATGGCGGCTATCATTTATTAGGAACCTAGGTTTCATCTGGGTGCCTGGTTGGGGTGTGTTTGAGCTGGAGGTATCAGGGGGTATCTGTTTGTGCCCAGGTGTTTGTTAAAACTGAAACAACTGTAAAAGTCTGATTCACAGACGAACACAATACAGAAGCCTGATGATGGCAGATGAGATTCTACCGAAATGTTGCTACAACTTTAAAAGCACAACTATAATGACGTGGGAAAATACCCGAACATGCAAGCATCAGCCAGCTACTCACAGCCTGAGGGCCAACTGACCACGTCGCAGTAGCAGGCTGCGTCCCACAGGTTGAGGACTACTGTCCTAGTGGAACTGCACAAAAATAAACACCTTAAGCATACCTACACGCACACACACAAACACATGTCCCTCAAGTATTCCCCTAGAATCAGCATGTAGACATTTTGACATCCTGGACAACTCACCTTTATAAAACACTGTAGCTGTACTCCATTTCTTTGTAGTTGCCACATTTCTGTGTTGCTGCCCCCTTGCTTTTAGGAATACATAAACCTGCGTTCCTCGCAGCTGTCAGGATCTCATTTTGATTTATTCTCGCACTGCGCTGGCTCGAGTTGGACCTCCAAATTATTCCTTGGGTAACTCCCCCATCCCCATAAAATCCAACAGCCCCCATAAAATCTGGGATTGCGGTGGGGGGAGGTGTCAGGTCAGGCAGCAAAGCCCTTTGAGCCTTGCTATCCTGCCATTGCCTCGGCCTTCCGGGACTTCTGCGGTTCAGACCTCAGAACTGCAAATCCCAGGACCCTAGAGTTGGAGGGGGACCTAAGATGTCATCTAGTCCAACCCCCCACCCCTTGTTGGCCTTGCAATTCCAGGGGCTCACGGAAGCCTGCCCCATTGCACCTGCCTAGAAACCCCCCCACTAGGGGCCAGATCCCTTGAGAGAGGGGTCGCCACTGAACAAAGCCACCCCCTCCACCGACTGGCAGGGGTCCTGTGTGAGAATTCTCTTGCTGGTCTCACCCGGCATTCTGGCCTGAGTGCAGCGGATATATCTCAGACGCGTCTCACCCATGGATCCTTTTCTCTCCTCCCCGCAACCCGGCGAGGGAGGGAGGGGCCTGGCCAGGGGTGGGCTGCAACCGGTTTAACAACTGGTTCCGTAATGTGCAGCATTCCAACAACACCAATTCGAACCTCTACAGGGCAGCCCTGGTGAGTTAAACAGCGAAATCCACTGTGCCACGCGAATCCACTGAGGTGAAAATGATGGAAATATAGAGCTGGAGGGGCGGGGCCTGTTGAGTGTTGGAACAGCTGGTTCGCTAAATCTGCTACGAAGCATCATGGGCCCTGGCGCAACTCACCTTTCAGGGGCCCCCTAGAGCAGGTAAAGCAGAGCCCGGAAGTGGCATTTCGCCAACTGCGTCCCCAAGGGAGGCTACAGCATTCAGACATGCTGACGAGGGAGAGGTTTTGCAACCCGGGACCATCCTGGCACTGCCCGGAGGAGAAACAGGAGCCCACTGACGCCGTTCCTGCAAAGCAGAGCCCAGGGTGAGCATCAGATTCACACAACCAGACCCCACACAGACCGAGTTCACTCATTTTATGTGTGTGGGGGGGGGAGGTGTCCTCGACTTACGACCATAATTTTGGCCCCCAAATTTCCATCACATTTGTTAAGTGAGCTTTGTAGGTGAGCAGGGACTTTCCGTAGAGGAGCATCTTTTGAGTGATGGGCAGATACAGATAGTCCTGGACTATGACTGCAATTTTGAAGCGCCACATTCCCGATGCTAAGTGAGACATTGTTTAAAAGAGAGCTTGGTGGGTGAGGAGGGACTGAGGTCGGGCTGCCCCATTAGAGGAATATTTCTGGAGTTGATGCGCAGATTTTGATGGTCCTCAACTTACGACCACAATTCTGAGCCCCAAAGTCCCCTTACTAAGTGAGATATTAGTGACGGGAGTTCGTCAGGTGAGCAGGGACGGAACTGGACTGCCTGTAGAGGAGCATTTCTTGAATGGTGGGCAGATACAGGTCGTCCTCGACTTACGACCACCACGTTCCTGTCACTAAGCGAGACATTGGTTAAGTCAGCTTTGCAGGTGAGCAGAGACTGAGCTTGGCTGCCCCGAGAGGAGCCTTTCCCGAGTTGTGGGCGGATAGAGGGGGATCCTTGACTTATGACCCTAATTTTGAGCCCCAAATTCCCGTCACTAATGTTCAGAGACATTTGTGAAGTGAGCTTTGCAGGTGAGCAGGGACTGCCCGTAGCACCTTTCGAGTGATGGTCTTTAACTTATGACCGCAATGGAAATCACACATTTCTGTCGCTAAGTGAGACATTGGTGAAGTGAGTTTTGCCTCATTTAACTACGTTCTCTTGCCCCGGTCATTAAGCGACTCATGGCAGGTTTTAAGTGAGTTCCTCCTGGTCGTCAAAGGAATCCCCACTGCCGTTGCTCATCGCCAAAGTGGATCGCCAGATGCGGCGATGGTCGTAAATACAAATCCGTCAACGAGCCTCCGGATTTTAGGGACTGTTCGGGCGTTAAGTGCAAACCATAGTCGCCTCTTTTCGGGGGGATGCTGCAAGGGTAAGACTCAAACCACCCCCTCCAGGCCCCCGTGGTATTTTTTCCAGGCCTGAATGGTCACTACGGGAATAGTTCATAAGTCCGATGACCGCCCGTCTCCAAAGACAACGTCCTGAGGAAGAGGAGGAAGACTTTCCCCAGCCACCGCCTCCCCCCGAGTTCCTCACCCTCACTGCAGTGGGGCCCAGTCCATCCGTCACAACAGGCACGCACCGTCCGATTCCAAGCGACGGGCCGGGGGTCCTCGTTCCTGTTGGGGGTGGGGTGGGGTGGAGTAACAAAGAGGGTGGAGACCGAACAGGCAGACATCCAACTGGGTTCCAAAACAGGTTGGGCTTGCACCTGTCCAACAGGAGAAGCTCCCCCCCATTCCCTCAGTCCCTCGCATGGGTTGTTGAACCTCCCGTGCTTTGGCAGGCCTGGGGTCAGTCTAGAGGACCTCGGCGTGTCCCTTCCAATTTTTTTTCTTTTTGGGGGGGGTAAGAATTTCACACGTTTGGTATATTTTTATATCAGCTTGTCAAACCCAAGGGGGAATTAAAGAAAAAACTAATGGAAGAGTAAGGGAAGGGAAGAAAATACGGGGTGGGGAGGGAAACCTCGGAGGTCATCTAGTCCAACCCCCTGCCCGAGCCAGAGACCCTTTATAGAATGACACAGAGTCAGAAGGGATCTTGGAAGGTCTTCTAGTCCAACCCTTTGCTGGAGCAGAAGACCCTTACAGAATTCCAGAATCAGAGAGTTGGAAGGGACCTCGGAGGTCATCTAGTCCAACCCCCCCTCACTGCCTCACCATCCGGGGCGTGTCTCACTTGTAAATGTAGCACAGGGTCCCCCCTGGTTCGGAGTCTCGGCGCGTCCGGTCCCGGTCGAGGTGCCAACCGGCCATGGTGTAATGGTAAACCTCCACGCAAGGCACCACGTCTTCCCGTCGGACGCTCACCACGTCTTCCTCCCGCACCTGGACCAGCCTCTCACACCAGCGCCTGTCAGACAGGATAAAACACAGCCCCGGAGTTGGGGTGAGGTTGTCCGGGGCAGAGGGGTTGTGTGTGTCTATCTAAAATAAAACTTAAACTGAAGCTGCTGCTTCCAAAACTCACAATTGTGAAATTTCCTATATGTAGCCTTGCTTAGGAGGCGGAAAGGAGACCACCAGGAGATCCTGGGCAAACTCCGAAGTCATGGCAAGCTCCCAGCAAGGAGGCAAGGAAAAGGTTTCCCAGGGTGTGCAACCCAGGGGTGGGACTCTCCAGGTTTTAACCGCCGGTTAGGTGATCGTGAGCAACTTGCAACGCGAGTAACCCAGCTGAGAAGAGGCAATCTGATACGCCGCGCTAATCAACTGAGTCTATATTGGGAGGTAAAGCGCAGGGGTGGGCGGGCTTACATGATAAGTCACAGCGAGACGGTTCGCTGCCTGCTGATATTCGGAGCAAACGCTTCAGTCGAACCGATCCAAACCGGTTAGACTCCCACCCCTGGATGCAATCGAGAAGGAGCGGAATTCCGTCGCTCGCCCTTTCTCTGGCCCAGAGAGATTCGAACGGAAACCTGCGATCCCATCGTTGCCTGTGGTGTCTCGCGAGGGGGAGAACATGGGAGGACTCGGGTTGGCTTCCATCCTTACCCATCATCCACTGCCAGTGTCTGCCAGATGGAAAGCCATGCCAGGATGCCCAGGAATTTCCTGGCGCGTGGAAAGACCGCTTGCCATATCTCCGAGACAAGGCCCATGGCGGGCGGCCGGTCCCTTGGTAGGGAAAAAAGTGGTTGAAAACAACTAGTCAAGTTGCTAGTCCTCTTTGAGGTCGGTCTGGAGAAGCTGCCGCTCGGGAGAGCAAAGCCATGCCCAATAATAATGCAACAATAGGGAACTGAACCCCCAAATTCTATCGCTAAGTGAAAGGTGAACTTTGCCTGAACTGGCAGCCATTTTAAAAGGTCTGGACTTCAACTCCCAGAATTCCCCAGCTGAGCATTATTTCTCATCCGACAGCCATTTTAAAAGGTCTGGACTTCAATGCTCACAATTCCCCAGCTGGGCATTGTTTCTCAACCGGCAGCCATTTTAAGAGGTCTGGACTTCAACTCCCAGAATTCCCCTGCTGAGCAATGTTCCTTGAGAAACACCCCTCAAGCAGGGAATTCTGGGTGTTGAAGTCCTTTACAGTTGGAGAGGACCCCTCTCTTAAAGTGCTGGAAACAGGCACTGTGGGGGGTGAGTCTCCGTTCTCCCCCGCTCCAGATTCTAGCGGGAAATCCCCCCTGGGGCCAATTCCCACCTCCGAGGTCCCTTCCAACTCTCTTATTCTGTCCTCTGTAAGGGTCTCCTGCTCAAGCAGGGGGTGGGACTAGATGACCTCTAGGGTCCCTTCCAAGCTCTCTTCCGATCCATTCCTTGATGGATTGCTTTGGGAAAGGAGCCCAAAGAAGAAAAAACACCCTTCCTCGCTATCCCACCCTCTGTTTTATACTGCCCCCCCCCCGGGTTCCCCCTTCCTACCTGGAGGGGAACGGCACTCTGCACATGCTCTGGAGGCCCAGATTCCGAAGAAGAGCAACGAGGGAATGCCTCTGGGCGAGATTTATAACCCGGCTTGGGATTAGGGTGGGAAGCATCTGGAGGAGCTCCGATTGGAGGGCTGCCGCCCCACATTTTAAAAAATGGCAGGGGGGGGGGCTGGTTAGGGAAGGAGATTCGTCCGGGCTCTGTACTCCCCCCCTTCTTCCTCTTCCTCCTCCTCCTCCTTATTAAAACCCCAAATCGGATTGAATTGGATTAAAAAAAGGATTTTATGCAACGGCCGGGAAAGTTTTTCATCTCCTGTGAGAGTTTTTAGCCATCCTGGTTTCGTCATTTGGTGGGGGGTGTGTGTCACTGAGTTCCCCCTTCTTCCACAGGCGGGTTGCCCCTCACTCAAAAGTCCTGTTTCCAGGGGTATCTACCCCCGGCAAGAATAGCAAGGATGTTCAAGGACAAATCGGAGAAATGTTGGAAGCGTCATCAGATACCTGGATCGTATTATTATAAGCGGTGGACGGGTGTGGAAGCTAAAAGATGTTGGACTAAAATACACACAGGCTTGGGGGGAGAAAATGACAAAACAGCAGATAGACTTAAAACCAGAGACATTTTAATTGGGGATTTTATCCGAAGGTTATAGTAAAGAAATAACATAAGTGATGATTAATGTTTTAACCGCAGCTAGAATTGTATTTGCTCAAAACTGGAAAAGTGGAAAAAAAACCCGACCGAAGAGGAGGCAAGAAAGAAAATAATGGGATGGGCAGAAATGAGTAAAGTGACGTTAGCAAATAGAGAACAAGAAGACAAAGAATATTATAAAATTAGGGACTTATTTTATCAATGGTTAAATAAGAAATAAAATACAATACAATATAAATGCAATATTATAGTGGAGATAAGACAATGTAATGATATGTTATAATTGACTATAATGAAATAAATGATGTGAGTTTTGTAAAAGTTGAAACTTGCTCGAAAAGGATGATGTGAATTTACAATTAAAGTCCAATAAGGAGTTAATAGTAATAGAATATGCATAGTTGATCTATATAATATAAACTTTAATAATGTATCTAGGATAGAGTGTTGATATTGTGCACAAGAAGATTTCTACCAACTGACACACTGTACAATGGAAAGGTGGTTTTGTGTTTTGTGTTTATGTTTGTATTTGTTTATGTTTGTGGTTAGAAAATAAAAAAAAATTGGAAAAAAAATAATGCAATGTGCGGAAATGAGTAAACTGACATTAGCAATCAGAAAGCAAGAAGAGAAAGAATATTATAAAATATGGGATTTCTTTTATCAGTGGCTAGATAAGAAAACAGGGAAATGAAATATATTATAATAACATAATATAATAGTAAAGATAAGATAATGAAGTTGAGATTTGCACGAAAAAGATGATGTGAATTTATAATTATAGTCTAATAAGGAGTTAATAATAATAATAATAACAACAACGACAACAGTTCCTAGGTCCTTGGTTAGGACTCGAGTGTTGAACTATCAACCAGCCCCAAAGACTGTGAATCTCACTAAAGATTAACCATTAATAATAATAATCTATCTTAACAGTTCTTAGGTCCTTACCAGGTCCAGGCTGTGAATCAAATGGAAGATTAAATAATAATAATAATAATAATAATAATAATAATAATAATAATAATAA